TTGTTATGATAATTTAGTTTTACAAATAACTCTATTATGTAATTGAAGGGATAATACATTGGGAATGTATCGCACATGGCTCATTAGCATCTGACATAAAGGAACAATGCATAGGATATGATGGTCCATTTGACGTCTGTGTTTTAACCGATTGGTGTGTTACGAGAGCTGGAGGTATACCTTTTAATTTGATATAACTCTAAACAATTTGAATTTTTAGATATCATCCTGCCTATTGATTTTTTTTTATTAGAAGAAATTACTATCCAAAATCACAAAGAAGAAAGTCTTTCGCGTTTCATGACTGCTCATGGAATGGATGAAGTTTCTGAATCTCGGGCAAAGTAAGATAATTATTATGACGTTAAGCCTACTCCCTTAATATAGTTTTTTTGTAGTACTATATTGTTTACATATATTCTTAAATATTAATTTCAGGACTTGGGTGAAGATACGAAACGAAGTGCATGGAAACAGTTCTTTTTTTATATATATGTACTAGCTATAATTTATATTTTTATTATTATCTTTGTTATCGTTTTTTTTTTTGGTTTTGGTTGTTGATTTTATCATGTTCTACTAAACACTATGTTTTATAAATAATATGATTTTGTAGCATCTATGAAAGAAAAAATAAGAATCAAGAAACAATTGTTTTTGTTTGTTCACTGAAGAAATAATTACTTGGTTGAATTTACGCGATCTTGAATACGATAACAAGTCACCATCTTTAAAATATATATGTAGATGTTTATGATTTAGCTAATGTAAATTTTCTTTACAATAAAATTGTCATTTAAAATATATAGATGGTGTTATAGTAAACAATTTTAAGAATTGGTAACAATGAGAATTGGAATATTAACATAATTTTAAATAGAAAAACCTCAATATATATATATATATATATATATATCTATTTATTTTACTCGAAGATAATATTGTTTCTTTATCTATATTTATCCTGAAATGTTAATATTCTTAATTTTCGGTTATAGATTAATATAAAATCACATTTTTTCTTATAAATATACTTAAAATTGCATAACCCTAAACAATAGTCATCATGCAATGGTGGATTATGATTATGTTCGTCAATTGGACTCTCAAATATCTGACTGGAGAATTATAGTGAAGATACTCAAAAAATGGGTGGTGGATTACTCGGACGATAATCAAAGTCTAAATTTCATTCTGGTCGATGAAAGGGTAAATTTCATTAACCTATAATGGTATTTGTGATATTTATTATTGGTTATGCTTATTGTTTTAACATACACTAATTTGTTCTTTTGTTGTTCTAATGTTATCGTATAAACTTCTAGGGTTGTAGAAGACAGGCTCGAGTAAACAATCAGATGATGGAGCATTTCAATCAAATATGCGAAGAAGATCAATGGTTTATGTTGACTGGATTTCTTTTGAATCCTTACAGCTGGACTAATATCCAAAGTATTACAAAACACGATTACGTTATTACACTGACAAAGGGAACAACGATTTCACCAGCTTTACCATTAACAAAGAATTCGTTCTATAATTTTGTATCATTCCTCTCGATTTATGAATTCCCAGATGCTCATTATTATCTAACTGGTAAGAATATTTTGGTATCTTTTTATAATGCAAAATTTATAGTTCGCACTAATGTCTTTATTTTGACTAATTACAATCGCAGATTTGATTGGAGTCGTCAAAGATGCTAGATATTTTACTATTACATACCCGGATGGAACGACTTCATCATCAATTCGATTTAATATAATAGATGATGAGTAAGTATATCTCAAACTATATGTTTTTGAAGTTTAACTAACTAATTATTAACTACATTCTTTGTCAAAATATAGAGAGTATATGCTAGAGTGTGTTGCACACGGTGAGTTGGCAACTGAATTAAGAGATAAGTGTAGAGAATACGAAGGTCCCTTTGCTATATGTATGTTAACCGATTGGTATGTAGCAATTGACGGTGGTATGTTCTCTGATGATACATCAATATGTTATTTATAAAATCGTTGTATATAACATAACAATATTCCAATATATATATGTTTTAGAGAATGTGTCTATCAAGGATCATGATGATGATGGTATGTCCCGTTTTATCACTGATTCACCTATTGATGAAGTTTTAACCTTGCGCAATAAGTAAGTATGTTTCTATGTGTTGTTTAAATTGACTTATGAAAAACAAAATATTTTCATATATTTAGATCTACATGATTTTGTTATTGAAATTTCAGGATTAGAGAGAGATTATATGGGCTGGATACAGATAATGTCTAATGGATTGGGCCGATTAAAAGGATTCAAAATCGATAATCCATATATATTATTAGTTTTGTTAGACATTTTTTATTTATTTACAAGGCTGTTTTGCGATTATTA